AAATAGAAATAAATTGTACTAAATTTTTAAGTAAATGATTTCTATGTAGATAGAATAACAAATATTTTTAAATAACATTCTGTTTCTTATATAATATATATACATCTTCAATTATTTTTTAAATATTTTTTAACATTCTTAGAAGCTGATGATACAAAAAAATATTCTTTGACACATACTCTCAAAAATTAAAAAAGATTAACTATATAATTGTAAAAAATATATATAATGGAAAGTACTCATCTTAATTTTAATTATAGAAAACTATTAATTAATTAACATGACTAATTAAATACTGTGTCATACAAGAGATTTCATCAATTTATAACATTTAAAAAAGTCACTTGTATCTTTCTTCAGGCGGCCTTTTCAATTTATTATTGCATGAAACTCTCCCTGCCTCTTTATGTGCGAGACACGGATGACCGCCTAGGACGCAGCTACGCAAATTAATTTCGCTAGTATGCAAGACGCAACAGCCTGCGTGAGAAATATCGTGAATACGCATGCGGTATCTTATACGCGTGGGCGAACAGTTGCCAAGCATTACCACAAAGATAAACGATTCGTTACCCACGCGAAAGCTGGCTACCTTCCTCCTATCTGCCTCTTTTTCTGCATACACAAGTTACATAAATTCAACCAAAATGAGAAATACTATATTTTTTTCGACTGAAATTTATTTTAGATTTATTAGTTTTTATTCGCGAGTGCCAGATCAGCGCAATTATCTATTCATCATTGTTTATCATTTTATTCCGTGGCATGTGATAAGTAATTTTAAATGATATTATGGACTATGATATTAGGACTTCTGAATTGTATTTATTATATCCGACTATCAACTACAATGAATTTCTTCGATATAGCCAACATTATGTTTACAGCAGGAAAAGCCAGTTTTCGTTTAGTTCCACTGCACACAAACGTGTCTGGAACTTATATGGACTTAGGGGGATATGTGTATGTGCCAGAGAGAACGAAAAATCGAACCATACGTGAGACGGACACATGGAGAAAGGGACGAGAGTGCGGTAAACGTATGATGTCATTTTGCGGTTCGCGGAAATTCCGGAGTTTCAAATATTGGAACGCATATCTCTGCGGGCAAACATTTATTTAACTCCCATCCCTCCCTTCAGCCTTCGTCATCCAAAATCGTGTCCGAGCGATTCCAATTCTGCTCCCTCACCTTTCCTCTCATTCAGCTGTCGCACGTTTATTCGATGTTTCGTGCGAACGTGCCTTTGAACGCGCGACGACTGACGAAATGCAATCTGATTGAAGGCGGTGCATCGAGCGTATACTGACGTAGTGGTACCGATTAATGGACTGGAAGAGATTTTGTTTCCAACGTACGAGACCATTTCAGTTTTGACCAGTCGCCGTGAAAATGAAGACTATGATCACATCACATACATATAACGCTTCACGCAGCAAGAAAAATTGATTTTTATTTAAATTCATTCTAAATCCCTAATACTGAATATTCAATAATGTAATAAAACTTTTTATTAAAAAATATATAATACGTAAATATATAATACGTAAATTATATATATTATGCATATAATATAAAACAATCTTTCAAAATTCTCTTGTCTCAAATCACTTTCATATGTTAAAATTAATTATAGATAAAATGTAAAACATTTTAAAATTTAAATTATTGTTTAAAATTAAGCTATAAAAAAAGATTTATTATTATTCATAACTATGTTATAATAATGTATAAAAATCTTTTCCATCTAACGTTAAAATCAGAGTTAGAATGTATGCAAAGAATCCATATGAAAATGAAAAATGTGATCAGATAGAAAATAATATATGAATCCTCTCAAAATAATTGCATTAGTATAATTATTCAGCTCTTTTATCTTATTTTTTTTATTTTCGATCAGAATAGAATTGATAAGTAAATTTTCAATGAATCGCAAGGTATCTCTCTGTGAGAAGAAAAAGATGGTGATGCTATAAAAATAGCGTGTTTTCACGTTTTTTTAATACGATAGTTCGCTATCACATATCTGATGTGAATGAGCAATTGCGAAAAATAGATTTAAGAAGAATGAAAAGTCACTGAAAAGACACGGATCCCGAAGCTCTCAAAGGAGAATTAAATTTAACATCGTACATGCCTCGCCCTCCCTAGGGAGTTTACCTGCATTAATACACAACGAGTACGGTTAGCCTTCACGGCATTAACGTGAATTCGATACGCAAACCGCAAATATACTGCTGCAGCCGCCGTGCATTCTCAACGACGGAAACCAGCGCCTGGTTTCTCGTACATTTCACCGTGTGTGAATATCTAGCCACTAAATATACACAAACAGAATACTGTAAAAGTTTAAAATGATGCTTCGAAGATGCTTAAAAATATTTGATATTTGTGGCTGTAATTTTATGGTAAAATAATTACGGTTAGGAGTTTTTTGTTTTTTTATTAGGTACTATTATAATATTAATAAGAGTTAGTTACTACTGTATAATACTGTAT